GGACGTCTTATCCTTTAGGCCACGACGACTTCATAATTTTTTCTTTTATCGTAAATTGTTGCTGTATACCTACCTACTTTTGAAAATACATTTCTCATCTAAATAATTTAAAATGTAATTTATAATAACTTACAATAAAATAGTAGCAAAACTAAGTACTAAGTAAGACCCTATTATAGCTGACGATATAAGTGATTTACTGGCCATTTCTTATTTGAGAGATACCATGTCACCAGAAGGGTTTTTCAATTTCGCCTAAGACAGGTGGACGAACTCAAGTCCAGTTGCGGGGTGAAGGTTTTAAACAGATGCCGAGCACCCCAGTCCGTTGGCACAACAGCTCAAGAGCAGCTGCTTCTGAAGAGTCTTCATAAAGGCGAATCGGAAACACTACCCACTGAGATTTAACAAAAAACTCATCGAGCTGATTCTATGATCTATGTTTTTGATAAGAAACGACAAGTACGGTACTGCTTGCTGCTACTAGGAGCGTCACTAGCACTGTAAGTGGATCGAGTGGATACCTTTTGTTATTCGTAACTTATATAATGCAAGCCCTCAAAAGGTCAGCCGATTCACGCTTTTGCCAATTAATTATCTTCTATTCTATAATATGATAGCTATCGATACATCAATAACAGATGGTGTTAATTGTAGGTTCGCATGAATTTTCACTTAAAAAGGAAATCGCGTTTTTTTTTTCCGTGAATTTTTGAATGTTTTTCTTTGGTTAAAGTTTTTACATAGTTGTGATTGAATGAACTTAGAAACAAAGTATATAAACATATAAAGAGGAACGCGACGTCGTCGGTGAGCAATTTCAATAGATGTTGAATTTATGAAGAAAAAACAAATTGTTTCCATATAATTCGGTTAAGTAACAAACATCTCACCTTTTGAGACTTTTGCAATACCCAGGACGAATTTTACTGCCGACGAATGTGAAAATAAAACCTTCTTTTTGCGGTAAAAAAATTGTCTATGGTCGTGAAAGTCAACATGTTTAAAACTATTTTTTCTGTATACATACTTATCTAGCAATAGTCTATTTGTCTATTAAGTGAACGTAGTTTAACTTTTAAATTAAAATCCTATGGGTCTTTTAGGAAAATCGACAAATATTACATTTGATGTGAAATCAGCATATTGCGATCACCAACCAACATCGTAAATAATTAATTATATTAAACAAAATAAATAGACATTTTAGACTTAACTCTCTTTAAAGTAATGGTTGTCTAATTACACTCCATTTTTATAAAAATTGTAAAGGAATAAATGAAGCTCCATATTTCAATGTCTTTTCTATGCAAATTTTATCGCTTGAGGGTCTCTCGGCGGCTTTTGGCGGCAAATTTAATCTGTGGCCTAAATGAAAAATTAAAAATGCAATTTCTCATTTCATGGTCGATGGTTTTAAATAAAAACCTTGGCTGAGCAATATACATACTGCGATCTTTTTTCAAGTACAGATTGTCTAATAGAGCCATAAATTCTAAATTTTCGTGTTTAATCCATGACCATAAAATTCGATGATTGTTGTTGACACAATTTATAAAAAAGAAACGAATAATTTTAGTTAAATGTATTTTGTACCTAAGAAGCTGTATTTAATTTCTCTGCTCAAAATAATAATAACTTATTTACCTAATACAGTTTTTAAACATGACCAGGGCTATTTTTGGACAAAGTATCTGGGTATAACAATTTTTGTTGCTGCAACTATACTCTAGTCTAATTATGAAGTCCCTTTTGACACTTCTTAGAACGTAACTCTTCACGTTTCGCATAATCTATATATTAATATATGAAGCAAAAACTTTGTATCCCTTTTTACGAAAATTGCGCGGACGGAGGAGTATGAAATTTTCCACACTTATAGAGAATATAGAGAAGAAGTGCACAATGCTAATATTTTTTTTAAATAATGCATAAAAGATACATTAAATCAATTAAGAAAACATTACACACACTACATACCATTTATTTGACGCACACACGCATGCATACTATTTATTGTCAAACTTTTGTTATTGACGTCTGTTGTCAAATTGAGAATAGAATATTGTTTGTCTTTGTTAATATTTTTTATAGTGTAGTCTTGGCGAAATTTGTGATTATAGAAGTATAAAATACAATCATAATAGTGTACAAACTTACAATTCCAATTGATTATAGTCGAATTTCGACTACTGCGGGTCCCGTAGTTTGAAATAATAATCTTTTTTTTTTCATGGTCGTAAACATCATTAAAAAAATACACAATCAATCTAAATCATTATACAATTAAATCACACACACAATAACATAATAATAACATCTGTCTCATGGGACTTCGTAATTGGAATAGAGTATAGCTACGACCTATTTGATACTACCGCGACACGATCGTAGTTTCTATTTTACGAGCAAAGCTACGAGCAGGGCTTAGTTTAGTTAATATAACATACATAATCAGAAACACCGTTAATAGAAAATAAGGTAATTTTCGTGCCATCCATCAGAGCAAACAACACGAAAACATATGCCAAAAGTATTTACTGGTGATAGGACTTCATGTGAGTCCGCGCGGGTAGGTATCACCACCCTGCCTATTTCTGCCGTGAAGCAGTAACGCATTTCGGTTTGAAGGGTGGAGCAGCCGTTGTAACTATACTTGAGACCATAGAACTTATATCTCAAGGTGGGTGGCGCATTTACGTCGTGGATGTATATGGGCTCCAGCAACCACTTAACACCAGGTGGGCTGTGAGCTCGTCCACCCATTTAAGCAATAAATAAAAAGTTGTCCTACAAAAAAAATATTATTTTTCCGCCATTGAAAAACAATCTAACCGAGTCTAAAATGGATGTTCGAATTCGTTGGGTAACAGCGCGTTTATGAAGACGAAATAAAAGCAATATTCCGTGCAAACTCCTTGAACTTTCGATAGTCACGGAACGAGCAGTGCTCTTCGCTTAAATTTGTATTTAATGCCTTTTTTAATTCTGCCGAAGTGTTTTTCGATTCCCTTCTATTTGTTTGAGAATTTTTTGGTGGACAATGAAATTGATTTCGTAATTGGCGCGTATTGAGAAACAATTTCGGGTAGATTTGGACACAGCACAGTATTAACTTTTCGGGTAAATATGATTTTGTGTCTTCTGATAACGTCTCATTATTTTTGGAATATATAAAACGTGACCTTTTTTCGTGTCAAAGCGGGACGCCTACGGAATTTCGTATATAAATAAATACATATTATTTAGGGTATGTCGGGGTAAGATGTAATATTTAAGCGCAAAAAAAACTTGAAATAATTTATTATGATATCTTACCCTCACTGACATCTTAATCTTTACACCAAGTTGCTCTTGAAATAATATTTATAAATAATTTCGCAAAAAATAACTACTTTTATACAGCAAAATTAGAGTTACTTTAGTATGTATTTTGTAAGACAATAAGGATTTGGTATAAGTAAGTATTCGGTAAGTTTCTAATAAGCCCATGCACAACAGATAAATGAAAGCGGGACATTTTTGTTCTTTTGAGGACAGCGGGACGGACAGCCTGAAAGCGGGACAATCCCGCCCAAAGCGGGACGTATGGTCACGTTATATATAACTGACAATTCTTTTTTTTTATTGCTTAGATGGGCGGACGAGCTCACGGCCCATCTAGTGTTAAGTGGGGCCCATATACATCTACAACGTAAATGCGCCACCCACCTTGAGATATAAGTTCTAAGGTCTCAAGTACAGTTACAACGGCTGCCCCACCCTTCAAACCGAAATGCATTACTGCTTCACGGCAGAAATAGGCGGGGTTGTGATACCTACCCGTGCGGATTCACAACAGGTCCTAAAAGAGTAAAAATCTTCACTTTTAGTTTTCTAATGGATAAGATAGTGAAAAGAAGTCCATGGACTGTCCGCTATTAATATTATTAAAACAAATCGGTACTTACTGATTTTTTTATGACGCTATTCTTTAATACTCATGTCAGATCATATTCAGGTCATACTATTGTATCTTTATGTGTGTAAATATAATGTTTTTGGTTAGAATACAGTCACAAGGCTCCGATGAGCTAAGCCATGTACATAGGCCGTTTAGGTTTCTCAAAAAATATCTGTCTTGTGTCTTCTTCTTCTCTGTCGTTTCCTCATTGCTGAGGGTCGTGACCACCTTGGTCCAGTTTTTGCACCAACTTCCTCCAATGCTGCCTGCATTCGGCCTGCTTAATGGCGCCCGGGACGCTGGTGTTTGTGGCCTCCTTGATAATGTCCGTCCACCTGGTTGGCAATCTTCCTCGACTTCTCTTTCCTTCCACGTGACCTACAACNTCTGTCGTTTCCTCATTGCTGAGGGTCGTGACCACCTTGGTCCAGTTTTTGCACCAACTTCCTCCAATGCTGCCTGCATTCGGCCTGCTTAATGGCGCCCGGGACGCTGGTGTTTGTGGCCTCCTTGATAATGTCCGTCCACCTGGTTGGCAATCTTCCTCGACTTCTCTTTCCTTCCACGTGACCTACAACTATTAATTTTTCTGTCTTGTGTAATTTATTTAAAAAAAAAGAAGTGAAGGAAAAGTTTTTTTAGTTCTAACCTAGCAGTTTAAAAGAAATACCATAGATAATACACATAAATTATTATAATTATGAAATACTTCGGTCAAACCACAGTCGTGAAGCACTTTATTTGATTGGACGTTTTAGTGTTGAAATATTTACTATTATAAGTTGAATAATAATTGATTGTTTTATGTTCCAGAAAATTCGCAACCTTTGTACTATAATTATTAGTGAATTAAATTTTCGATAACATTGTAATTTTATGGCTCTTTGTAAGTTCCAATAATAGACCTTAAACGAGTCGACTAAATTAAAATGTCATTTTCAGTCAATACGACAATTAATTGACAATTTGAAATTCTCAGCTAAAAATTGACCTAAAATTAATGTACGCAAAATCTTTTTAAATTAATTAACGAAATTTATTGAAGTGAAAAAGAAAGATGTTAATACCTACTTGTATTATAAAGTTTATGGAATTAGTGAGTTATTGTTCTTAAATGATCTACGTAGACTAACGATGACTTGTCATGTAAATACTAAAATTAATATATTTGATTGTAGCAATTTTTTTAACGCGCCCTCACTCGACAATCAATTTGTTCAATTAATTCTTTCGATTGATTCTGTTATATTGCGGACTATACAAAAAAGGAAAACGAATAAAAAATAGTATTTATTAGGAACTTTTAGAGATATCGTGACAGAAGGACCTACTAGCTCCCTTCGCTTTCGATTATCGTAAATAATTCATTATCATACACGAATTGCTTGATCATTTAAAACGTAGCATGTAAATTAATATTTCCATTAGTACCAAATTGACAAAATACTGTTTAAAATAAGCCATTAGATTGGCCATAAGGCAATAATATCATAGTAACTTAACATTTACGGTAGGCAGTGGCTTGGCTCTGTCCTTGGCATTGCTGAAGTCCATGGGCGACGGTAACCACTCACCATCAGGTGGGCCGTAATCTCATCAATATCAATACTAATATATAAATCTACAGTGGTTTTTACGGATGTTCCGTTATAACTACTGAGCCATGTATCCGATTGACTTGAAACTTGGTATCCATGTAGAAAATACATGTACTTAATGGATAGGCTAATATTGATATGAGTGTTGGACTCCCTACACCAGTTGCGGGGGCGTTAATGATGAGAATATTTGTGGGGGTGAGAAATAATAATGTTAATTTTTAATGCCCAGCGAAGCGGACGGGTACAGCTAGTCTACCTATAAGGGCAATAAAAAAAGCCCATCCTACATTGTTACAAAAGAATTTCATCGAATCTAATATTTATCTTACTGTTTCAGTCGCTGGCAATATCATGTCTCACGTTACATCAATACAGTTACGATCTAACCGATTTGCCGACGCTGATGCTCTGTTCGGGAACGTATGTGGCATATATCATCGTGCTCTCCGGAGAAATAGTAGGTTAATATCGTATTATTGTAAATGTGGTGTTCAGTAACATAAGGCCGTAAAACCAGCGTCAAGTACTCTGTGTCTTTCCTGATAATGTTGCTATATCAAATATTTTTGTATTATTATTTTAAATTTCGAAGATGTAAACGTTAAACGTGTATTTTGTCTTAAAAAGCCGTATTTATACTACGACACTGTAATTTTTTTGTGATAATCTGTGGTTAAAAACAAATTTTATGTTACGCTTTTTGGCGGGAACGCGAGGAGTGAAGTTGTGTGATTTGTTTTATTTTGTCTATTTAGTGTTTCTTCAGGTTTAAATGTGTAATAACGGTGGTTTATTAACTGTTTAGTATCTGTGAAAGTGCACAAATGTGGGAAAATGAAACAAAGCCGCTGAACGTAACTTCTCGGGATCCTCCAAAAAGTCCACCGAAAAAATCTTAGTAAATGACCACCATTTTACTGAGATTATATTTCATCTCATATCATTTCATTTCATTTCATTTCATCCCAGTTGATTAATGTCTCAAATTAATCATCTTCATTTAATTTCATTTCACTCCATATTATCATTTTTCATAAAAATAAGAATATAAATTAAAATAAGACATGACTTAAAGGTCTTAGAAACCAGGTCATAAAATCCCTTAAACATTTTAGGTGAAATGATTTTCGCGCCTTTAGACCTCGTTCAAGATATGTATTTTGGATTGCTCGGAGCCACATTGTTTTCTACCAGTGGAGGTCTTGTCCTCTCAGCTAGAGTTCGAGGTGCCGCATACCCGAGGACTGGTGACCACAACGCGGCCCTACTCGCTGGATCGTTGGCTGTCGTGAACGCATTTATAATGATTTTCGATCTAACCTTAGCTTATATGGACTCGGAGGAATTCGATGATGAGGCCAGCGTATGATCGAGGTATTTGTCATGTAATTAATTTTGTGCGGCCGTAATCATTGGAGACTCAACTTTATTAGATAGGCTCATTAAAATGTAATGAACATTTTTTTCTGTAACTCTTCACATTAGAATTGGATATAAATACGGCTTCTAAAGACAATATTGCAGTAGGTTTGTTTATGTCGTTTTGGCGAAGCGGTCTTGTATTGTCATGGCGAAAAAACATTCCATTTCACAATTGAGGCCTATAAAATCAAAGGCAGCTAAACGCCTTAATGTCGTAAATGGATTAACAAAGGCGCTATTCTTGCTTAGTTAGGTGGACACGCTTTAGTGTTCATGTTATAACAAATGCAGCTAAATCTCTAACAAATTCAGTTCAAAATTTTTATTTTTACTCTGTACTAAGTACTAATAAACGAAGTTTTATCATTTAAAATTCAGATTATTAGTAATATTCGCCTTCTTTATAAATCTGCTTTAAAATAAAGAATATCGTAGCTATCCGAACAGTTATTTCAGCTTCTCAAACCGGGAGTGTTGCTAAAACTGGCCCTAGCAATTACCTCGCAGTAGGTACTAGCAGTACTTCGACGGATCGGGAGGATCCGTAAAGACGTGCTTAGGGCCGATTTTTGTAGTTTACCTGAATATTTGACAGACTTGGATTTAGCTGCCTTTGATTTTAGAGGACTCAATTAACCTAATTTGTTTTTATATAAAATGTTTTTTAGTTTGACTGATATAAGAGCAATATCAAGGTCTTAGTCTAATTTCGTAGGTGAAGCAGTGTCGGCGGCGGCGGACGCTTACATCGATGGATGGTGGTCGGGCTGTGGGGCTGTACTGTACGGAGCCTGTGGGGCTCTCACTCTTCGCTCGTGGCGCGACGTGCCAAAGTGCCATCGACGTTCGTACGCACAAGCATCTGCCGTATGCGCAATTGCAGCCGCTGCTCTGCTCACAATAGATGCTCTGTTCGCATTTTGCTCCGCGAGTCGAGACGATACAAGCACGCGAGCTAAGTCTTGCAAAACAAATAAGTGATAGTGTGATTTACATTAAATAATTAGAGATTTTTAATATTGTGATAATTTTGTAACAATAATAAAAGTGCTAATTTAGTAATCTTTTTATTTTAGTGACATCTAGCGGATAGAACTATAACTACATAAAAATGATGGAAACAAAAAATGTATTAGTCTAAAACCATTTAAATTTGGTTCTTGTTGTGTTTACTAGATGTCACTGTTGCTTTTTCTTTTTAAAATAAATGTAAAAATAAACAGTGAATACACGTCCTAATGGATTGGAATATGCGATTAGGTACATACTTTTGAACTATTACTTGACTATTCTCATTGATTTCCTAACCTGAAAAAATTATGCTGTGATCATTTTCTACCTATGCTGATAGCTCTGAGAGGCTACTTCAGCTTTACCCTAGCGTGTAGATGAGCTCTCGGGCTTCAAACCGGAGATGTTGCTAGCACTGGCCCTAGCAAGAGCTGTGCTTTACGGAATCTACCACCAGATCGGAAAAGCGACCCACTGAGAAGACCCTGCGAGAATCTCAGTGGGCTGCAGTACGCCGCTGAATCTACCACCGGGATGAGAATCGCGAGCCACTGAGAAGATCCGGCGAGAAACTCAGTGGGTTGTGTCTATGAGCTAGGTTGCACGTTGAACCAAAGAATCGAGACTGGATCCGAAAAGACATGTTATGTGTCACGGCAGCTTTGCTTTTTCCTGTCGTTTGGTCGGATAATTAGAAGCGGCCACGATAAGACGCTTATCGTGACGCGCCGCTTTTTCAAAGAAGTTAAATAGGAAACGTACTATCGTATATTTATTTTCCTACTTTAACTGGTAACCTTAGAGAGTTATGCCAGCGTAACCTGATGAGTAGATGAGCTCACGGGGCTCTAACCAGATGACGTTGCTAACACTAGTAACATTAGTCCTAGCAAGAGCAGTGCTTCGCAGAATCTTGCACTACTGTACTAGAATGGTATCGCAAATATAATTAGAAATTTTCTAGTAATAATAGTATTTCACATTAGTTGATAGTACGAAGTGCTCAAAGATAAGACTGAATTGTCACACGAAGATAAACTAAATGTCAAAGTTGTTATGCCTTTTATTTTCCCTCGTATTTATTGTTTAGTCACCAAATTAAACAATTGAAAATGTTTACTTTACAATTATTACAGCAGCTTTTTCCCCTACTTAATCGTTGGTAGCCTAAGGGGCTATTCCAACTTCGCGCGGACCGGTAGGTGAGTTCACGGGCTCAACCTGAGAGAATTGCTAATACTAGTCCTAACAAGAGCTTCGCTAAATCTACTACCGGATCGGAAACGCGACCCACCAGGAAGATCCGGCGAGAAACTCAGTGGGCTGACTGTGGATTAATTTACTCGCAAGCGAAATACTATCGTAAACGCTGCCGGAAAAAAACGTAAGTATTAATCTATTTGTACTATTTTAATCATGCATTGTATGTAAATAATAACGATTGTAAAGACAATAGACCAGTCGGTTAATGCAATCATCAAGAATCTCTCTTTTAATTAGACAACAAACGCGGCACTTCATTTGTCTATATCTATACTAATATTATAAAGAGGAAAGATTTGTTTGTGTCGAATAGGCTCCGAAACTACAAGACCGATTTGAAAAATTCTTTTTCCATTAGAAGCCGACATTGTCCCTGATGAACATAGGCTACTTTTTTTTATAATTTTTTTATTTTATTTTTTTGGTTTTTGTGTGTTTTAATGTTTCCGAAGCGAAGCGAGGGCGGGTCGCTAGTAAGTAATAAGAAGTATGAAGGACATCGTAATAAAATGACGTAATATCAGGATTTCCATATACACAATCCACAGAGTTTCTCGCCGAATCTTCTCAGTGGGTCGCGATTCCGATCCGGTAGTAGATTCAGTGAAGCACTGCTCTTGCTAGGACTAGTGTTAGCAATTATCTCAGGTTGAGCCCGTGAACTCACCTACCGGTCCGCGCGAAGTTGGAATAGCCCCTTAGGCTACCAACGATTAAGTAGGGGAAAAAAACTGCTGTAATAATTGTAAAGTAAACATTTTCAATTGTTTAATTTGGTGACTAAACAATAAATACGAGAGAAAATAAAAGGCATAACAACTTTGATATTTAGTTTATCTTCGTGTGACAATTCAGTCTTATCTTTGAGCACTTCGTACGATCAACTAATGTGAAATACTATTCTTACTAGAAAATTTCTAATTATATTTGCGATACCATTCTAGTACAGTAGTGCAAGAGCCCTGGCTTTGGTCATAATAATTAATAAGCCTTATTTTATTTTCTAAAAATCAACGTTCTAACAAAATATGTTTTAAAACGTTCCGTTTCAATAGGTACCTACATTAATTTTATAGAACAAAATAGAATATATGAATAGACCATTTGTATATTTTACTGTTGTTTCGTTTTCCCAAATAACAAAAAAAAAAAAATATTTATGCTACCTAGTTAACCCCGTCCGTGCGAAACTGGAATAACCCGGAAAATGCTATCAGCGAATGGGTAGGGTAGGGTTTACAGCTCAAATATTCTATCTATGATTTAGAGCGTAACGTGGTCCGAGGTTCTCGATTTTTTCTCCTGACATTAGTTTCGCTCGTAAAGATTTTAAAGCTTTTACGAAATCTGCCTCTTGTGTTGGTCAGCGGTTAATGTTTTTTTTTTTTTTTTTATGATTCTAAGATTACTGGTGGCTCGTAGGCCTTTCCAGCTTCACCAGGACAGGTGGGCGAGCGAAGGCTCAGCCAGGAGGGGTGGGATTTGCTAACAACTGCCCGAGCGCCTCCGAAGGAGACCAAACAACTCAAGAGCAATTGCTTCGCGAATGAATCTACTACCGGATCGGAATCGCGACCCACCGAGAAGATCCGGCGAGAAACTCAGCGGGCTGATGAATGGGTTAGGTTGCACGTCGACCTCTTTGTCGAGTTCGACGAGTACGATTACCGGGGTTCCTCAGCCTGCTCCTAGTGTTAGAGCTGAAGGTATCTATTGCAAGAGTTATTGGATCTGATGGATCCGTAAGGACGTGTCTAGGGCGACGACGGTGACTTGCTCCTGCGTGATCAGGATTCGGGGAGTAAATAGCGGCGGCAACGATAAGGCGACTATCATGACGCATAGCCTTATCGACGTAACGTTCCGACACTGACTTCATGTGTTTGCGGATCGATTCGAGGCCCAGGTCGTCGTGTAGGTCGACGTTCCTCACGAACCATGGAGCCCCGACGGCTAACCGGCAAAAGCGGGATTGTAGGGATTGGAGGGTGTCTATGTGTGTGCGGGCCGCGAGAGCGAACACCACATTCGCGTAAGTCATGACGGGCCTTACGCAAGTTTTGTAAAGTGTCACCTTGTTCCGAAGGGATATTTTACTCCGCTTACAGATCATGGGATAGAGTCTGCCGAGAATAAATGCGGCACGGTCGCGGACTGTTTTTATATGCGGGCGGAATGTCATGGATGCATCCAGGGTGACTCCCAGGTACTTGACCTTCCTGGGGTGTGACCCATCGGGGGTGTGATATTTCTCCTCTTAATGCAGGAGGAAATAAGCGGTGAGTTTCCCCTTTGAAATAACACTGCTGTGCTTTTCGCTGGGTTGATGTCTATGCGCCATTTTCAGAACCACTGTCCGAGGGTTAACGCTGCACTCCGGAGTTTACTCGCGATTGTGGACTTGTTTCTACTTGAGTAGTAAACGGTTGTGTCGTGAGCGAATAAGGCTAGCTGGGTCGGCGGCGACCGGGGAATATCATTGACAAATAAACTAAATAGGAGTGGAGAAAGAACGGAGCCTTGCGGGACTCCAGCCGTGAGTGGTCGCGGGGAGGAGCGGGTTCCCTCTACACGATATCGAAAAGAGCGGTTAGACAAGAAGTTCCGTATGATGAGCACGAGACTGTACGGTACGCCCATGTTGAAAAGTTTGAAAATCAAAACGTTGTGCCA